TTAGACTAGTCACTGTTGCTTCATTTAATTATTGGGTTGAGTCAGAAGAGAAAGGCTGAGCTGATCTAACTATTTGCTGCTGCCAAAAATATCTCTCTTCCTTTACCCTCACCTCTGCTGCGTGCTGTCATGGCCCTTCTGTGTATCATCTCTGGTCCTTGTCCGATCTCTCCATGAGCTGATTCAGCTTTCCAAGTCAGAAACACAAATGACTCGATGCTGAGATAGCACCAGTGTCAACATGGTGGGGTTGGAGACCATGTCACTGGGAGCAGGGCAGACAAGATGGAGGAGCAGGAGAATATACAATCATAGAATCGTTTTGGTTGCAAAAGACCTTTAAGATCAAGTCCAACTGTTAACCTAGCACTGCCAAGTCCATGTTTGGGAGTGAGAAGGTAAATGAGGTTAATGAGGCCCAAGGGAATAAGATGGTCCATTTCACCAGCTACCAAGTTAGCTCAAAAAACTATAGGCCTTTCTGAGGACAAACCCAACAGAACTAGGCAGTAATCCTAAAAGATACTGTTCAGTGACTGAAGCCTCTGCCCTGTTGAGGGTCTCGAGCAGAGAGGAGCATATGGGACGTTACATGATTTCCACGTGAGACCTGCCTCAATGCCTCCATGTTGTGATCTTTCTCTCTCAAGCTGGTTGCGAGCATAAGCTGAGTGGTGCAGAGGGAACGATGAGCAGCCCAAACTGGCCTGACAAGTACCCCAGCCGGAAGGAGTGCACCTGGGACATCTCTGCAACACCTGGCCACCGAGTGAAAGTAGTGAGTAACCAGTGAGCAGGAGTGCAAGGGGGAGAAGCAGCCTGGGTTGTGAGGAGCTGAAGTGACTTTCCCCTGCCGCTGTGTGAGTGGGAGGTCGATCCCCATAGCTCCTGTTTGGGGTGCTCAGAGGAGGGCGTCCCAGGAGGCTGCTACTGGCAGGCAAAAGGGCAGAAGGTCTCAGAGGGACACGAGGCAAGGGTGAGGCAGTTTGGAGGAGACTCTAGCAGATGACAACTGTAGAGCATTGCTGTCTCTGTTAACAGAAGGTATTACGTGCTCTCCCGCCCCTACCCCTCCTTGTGAGCCACTCCTTTGGGACCATCTCTGCATGAGGTGGTGGCAGCACCAGTCCCCAGCCCCTCTGAGGGAGAAGCATTGGGCATGTTTTACAGCATGGCCTAGTGTATATGGCAGGACATGCCCAAAGCTGTGCAGATTGCCCATGCACTGGGGGAAATAATGCCTGGATCCCTGTGCTCAGTGGAAGTAATACTGAAGAACTGCCCATTCAGTGTGCTAGGCAGAGTTCCCAGCAGGAAAAATAAGGCTTGCCATCGAAAACTGTTGTCATGCACCCATGTGAGGCAGCAAAGCTAAGGCTACACGGCACATTCATATGAACTTCTGAGCTTTGCCACCCTGAGATCACTCTTGTGAGAAAACACGCTATTCTGTTTTAGTTTGTGGGATGAGTGGGACAGACCTACCATCTGACCTGTTTCTCACTTGGCATTTCATCCTCTGCTAAATTGCATACTCAGATTTACAGATGTCTGTCTTAATTCTCCTTATTCTTGCTGTAGACCTTCAATGAGTTTGAGATTGAACAGCACCAAGAATGTGCCTATGACCACTTAGAAATGTATGATGGGCCCAACAGCAAGTCACCTATCCTTGGCCGCTTTTGTGGCAGCAAGAAACCAGACCCTGTAGTGGCTTCTACCAACAAGATGTTCCTCAGGTTTTATTCTGATGCTTCTGTGCAAAGAAAAGGTTTCCAGGCAAAGCACAGCACAGGTAAGCTGGTTGCCTGCCAATACCTCAGTGCGATAAGATGTCATCAATTCTCACTGCATTTTTTTGACCAGGCAAAACCAAACATACTTTTCTCCCAAATAAACTTAGCCTGAATTTTAAGTGGTTGTATATTGTGCTAACCAGTTCCCAGATCATTGTTGGCACCACACCATAAATGCCAGCTTCCTTATCAGCTCAGAGGTCTCTTGATGGCAGACATTCCATTTTGTTTAAATTGGATGTGTTTGGTTGAGCACCAACCCCTTCTGTTCCTCATCAACCCTCGGAAAAGGAGGTGATGCAACTTAGCCCATGCTAAGTATTGGCCCACGCACAGAACAGGCCCATGTTAGATTGATTATGGTGGAAACAGAGATGTACTGTGGGCAAACACAGCTTGATCCTCTTATCTGTGGCAGCCTGGAGGTGAGCGTGTTGTACCAAGGTTCACTTTTTTTTAATCCCTTCTATCGTAAACAGGTGAAACGTGCTCTGAGGGGCAGTGCGTGAGAAACTGGTGAAGAGGCGTCATCTTGTTTGGCTGCAGGGAAACCGAACCAAAGCACATGTGTCTTGCACAAGCACAGAGCTACTTTTGTGCGTTGTGTGGGCAGAAAAGGATTGTTTTGGTCCCCAGTTTTTTAACATGATTCAACTTCCTGCTGGCAAAATATTTGGGGTCAGAATTGCAGCTGCAGGACGAGTGCAAAGAACATGTTAAGTCTTCCTTTAAGCAATTGCTCTCTAAAATAATACATTTTTCCACAGTATAATGTGGCAGGGACC